TGTACAGTATTTTCACAATAAAAAACTTATTAAAAGAAAAAGAAACCAAACCTAAAGCTTTTGATAGAGGCTCTGTAAAGTCTATCAGAAAGATAAAGATTTTTACCAGACTAAAAGCACTGAGCAAGTCTCTCTGGCTGGAGTATGGAAATCGAGTTGCTGGTCCCCTAGCTCTTCCTCACCCAGGTCCTATAAAGGCTAAGTGTCCCTTGCTTCTAAGCTACCTTCCTCAAATTCACAGGTCAATCTAAGTTCAAGCAAGGCCAACACAAAAACAGATAAGCAAAATGGAAAAATGAAAGAAAGAGAGAGAGAGAAAGAAGGAAAGAAAGAAGGAAGGAAGGAAGAAAACAAGGCCCTTGTCTTCCAAAAATGTATTTGAGGTAGCAGAAACAAATATAAAGAAATATATCATGATTAGATACAGATGCAGTAATGTAAGGTTTTGACCAGTTCAGAAACTGGGACAGGTAGGCTAGATCAGAGAGGACTAATCTGTTTGTTTGTCTTCCTATGTAGCTCAGTTGGTCTTAAATTCCTTCAGCTTCTACCTCTGTAATTCTGGGATTATAGGCATGTCCTAGACCACCATATCTAGAGTGAAGAAGGGCTAATCTCTGTAAAGGATGACCAAATTTTTGTGTTTTTTTTTAAATAAGTTTTTTATTGTAAAAATACTGTACAGAGGGGTTACAGTTAAATGAGCAAGGTAATGAGTATATTTCCTATCCAACATTGTTGCCTCCTTTGTTTTTCCCCTACCATCCCTTCCCTCCCACCTCCACTATACTCTGCCCCCACCCCCGCTGTGCCCCCCCCGCCCTCCCACCCCTCCCCCCTCCCCCCCAAGTTGTAAAGTTCATTTTCAATATAGTGTCTTGTACATCTCATTTGTTACAATGGGTCAACCTGTATCCCTATTTAAGCATTGTGTTTTTTCCCTTCCCCTCCCCAAATTAGACTGATATCAAATACAGTGAAAACAGGGGTTATACCGTGGGGGAGGAACATACAAAATTATTTTACTGACTGGAAGATAGGGCCATGTCTTTTTTTTTTTTTTTTTTTGTCAGTCGTGGGGCTTGAACTCTGGGCCTGGGCGCTGTCCCTCAGCTCTTCAGCTCAAAGCGAGCGCTCTACCACTTGAGCTACAGCGCCACTTCTGGTTTTGTGGTGGTTTATTGGAGATAGGAGTCTCACGGTCTCTCCTGCCCGGGCTGGCTTTGAACCGCGATCCTCAGATCTCAGCCTCCTGAGTAGCTAGGATTACAGGCGTGAGCCACCAGTGCCCAGCCAGGGCCATGTCTTATATTATTCATGGTGCCTTTCCATAAGAGTCAGCAAATAGATATATATTCAAGACAGAAAGGAATGGAATCTTAATGTAATGCTCAGCACAAGAAAAAATGAGTTTCAGAAATATATTTATTTTCTGAAAGTGGGGGAAAATAAACCTTATCAGGTACTTAGGAACTTTTCTTTTAATTAATTTATTTATTTTTGTTTAGGTGGTACCAAGGAATGGGACGCGGGGCCTCATGCCTGCTAGGCCAGCACTCTACCACTAAGCCACATTCCCAGCCCATGGGAACTTTTGTAAAAGAATTTTAAATATGGATTTTCAAATAAGAACCTCTTAAGAGTGTTCTAGAAACAGCACTAGCCAGGAACGTATAAGGCTAAGAACCAGCTTGGGAAAGGTTAAAAGGTTCCTTTCTCTATGCTTTATGATGTAGATTCTATTGTCCTTGAGTCAAGAGAAAACTGAGACACAGAAAGTTAAGTCCCAACTCATACAATTAGCATGTGGTGAGTGTAGGATTCCAGCCACCCCAGGACTCCACAGCCCTGCCCTAGCCACCAGGACCTGGGGCATCACCTCTGATTGCCTGAAAAATTAAGAAGGCTTAGGAATGTGAAAGGAGAGGATAATCAGTGCACTACTCATCTGCAGACAAGTATTTGTCACTAGCAATGTTTATTTGTATTTTTTAAGGACAGCAGATGGGTGTATAACTTAACTTTTCAATAGTTTAGACTAAAGAAAACTCCAAGATTCTTAGACTTTTTTTCCTGCTATCAAGATATCAAGTAAGGTGTGGGATACAGACACATCTTTTTCAATATAGTACCCTCTCTTCTCCTCCACAGCCAGCTAACAGGGAGACTGTTGGTATTTAGATCCTTAGAATCTAGAAGAAGGAAAGGACAGAAAAAGGGATAAAGGTACTGTGAATCAGAAAGTAGCAAAGCCAGAAAATGAAGTGGTGTTTGCAGAAATTCCCTACGCCAATGGCATAACTCATGTCTGCTGTTTACAATGCTGGCTGAGATTTTGTTTAATAAAGCATCACAGCAGACTGACACGTATTTGTACATCAAAATCTGTATGAACAAGGTGGCTCACACCAGTCATCCCAGCAAAACCCAGGAAGAACAAGATTTGAAGCTAGCCTGGGCAAAAAGGTACACATACCCTCATCTGAACCAATGATAGCTGGACTTGGTGATGTGCACCTATCATCCAGCTTCAAAGGAGGTATAAGGAAGAGGACTGTAGGTCCAAGATCCTATCTAACAAATAATGAAAGCAAAATGGGACTAAGAGTGTGGCTCAACTGTACAGCAACAGCCTAGCAAGAAGGATGCTTTGAGTTTAAACTCTAGTACCAAAAAGAATGCAAGCTGGGTACCTAATGGCTTATATGTTATATAATCCTGGAGTATTGAGATGAAAGGTTTTATTACTTTGCCCAGCTATAACATACATATATTTTTTTGGGGGGGGGGGGTCGGTCGTGGGGCTTGAACTCTGGGCCTGGGCGCTGTCCTTCTGCTCTTCAGTTCAAGGCGAGAGCTCTACCACTTGAGCTACAGTGCCACTTCCAGTTTTCTGGTGGTTTATTGGAGATGGGAGTCTCACAGTCTTTCCTGCCCGGGCTGGCTTTGAACCGTGCTCCTCAGATCTCAGCCTCCTGAGTAGCTAGGATTACAGGCGTGAGCCACCAGCGCCCGGCACTAATATATTTTTAACATGGAAAAAGATATCATATTTGATCAACTAATTTCTCAGCAACATGAATATAATTTCACTTTCTAAAAGAGTTATTCTCCCTTCTCATTGAACCCCATTGTTTTGGGCAGTGCTTTGTTTTAGGAATTGAACCTAAAGATTCCTGCACATTAGAGAAGTACTCTGCCACACAGCCATATCACCAGACCTCAAAATACAATTTTCTTAAATTTTTTTTCACTCTTAGTCCCTGTGGTCCTAACCTATGTATCCTACTATACTGCTAAAACTTAGAAGCCATGACCTTCAGCTTGTAGAATAGGAAAATAAGCAAGTTGTCTATGTTAGCCTTATCTGAGTTAAAATCCTTTCTTTTGTTGTTGTTGTTAAAAATGTATCTTATTTTATTTATTTATTTTAGTTGTGCTGGTATTGGGCTTGAACTCAGGGCCTGGACATTGTCCCTTAGCTTTTTTACTTAAGGCTGGTGCTCTACCACTTGAACCCTGGCTCTACCTTTAGCTTTTTGCTGGTTAGAGTGTCACAGACTTTCCTGCCCAACTGGCTTTGAACTATGTGATCCTCAGATCTCAGCTTCTTTAGTAGCTAGAATTATAGGCATGATCCACTGGCGCCCAGCAAATCCTAACATTTTCTTGGCAAATTGTGTACTGTGTGTGAATTTCCTCCATCTGAACAGATATAGATAAAATGTAGTACTCCCCAAGAAAGTGACAAAAAGAGGCACAGAACCCAAGACTAAAGTCCACCGCCGTGACCCACCTACTGTCAGCAGAAAAGATTGGCATTTTCTGTACTTTCTTCTGATAAAAAAAAAAAAAAATAGCCTTTTTTTCCCTAATTACTAAGGAATTAGCTTTCCATAGCCCTGGGGTTCCATAGCCTTCCGCAGTGTGGTCAACAAGGAGATGTACAGGACGCTAGGTAGAAAAACGAACTTTTACAATTTAGGCGGGGGGGGGGGGGGGGGGGGGGGTTGGGGAAGGGTAGTTCTGGAGATAGGAGGGAAGGGATGGTAGGGGAAAAATAAAGGAAGACTCAACAATGCTTGATAAGAAATATATTCATTACCTTGCTCATGTGATTGTAACCCCTCTGTACAGTATTTTCACAATAAAAAAACTTATTAAAAAAAGAAAAAGAAACCAAAACCTAAAGCTTTTGATAGAGGCTCTGTAAAGTCTATCAGAAAGATAAGAGATTTTTACTAGACTAAAAGCACTGAGCAAGTCTCTCTGGCTTGGAGTGTGGAAATCGAGTTGCTGGTCCCCTAGCTCTTCCTCACCCAGGTCCTATAAAGGCGAAGTGTCCCTTGCTTCTTGGCTACCTTCCTCAAATTCACAGGTCAATCTGATAACAGGGCAGTGAGGTCACACTCCTGTGACCCCCACTAACCTGCTCAGTCTGCTAGAAAGATAATAAAAACAACCTGAAGCCACAGGGGGGCAATATCTCTGTGGTTGTCAAGATAACCAGAAAAAACAGGTAGCTGGAGACAGCTGAAAGGAAAACAGGATTAAAAAGAAGAGGGGGGAAAAAAAGAGCAGAAACTAAAGCCCCGTGTCAGCTTGAGATTCTATTTTGCTTCAACAATAGGTTTTTGGATTTGGGCATTCATTTATTCATCTAGTTTTTTGCTGGTTAATTGGAGATGAGTAGCTTGAATGCTGGGTACTACTGCTCATACCTATTACAATCCTAGATACTCAGGAGACTGAGATCTGAGGATTGAGGCTCAAAGCCAGTCCAGGCAGAAAAGTCTCCAGTTAACCAGCAAAAAGCAGAAGTGGAGCTGTGTGGCTCAAGTGGTAGAACACAAGCCTTGAGTAAAAAAAGCTAAGTGAAAGCCTGAAGTTCCGAGTTCAAGCTCCAGTTCTAGTACAAAACGAAAACACAAACAAGTTACGTTGCCTTCCCTTTCATGGAAGAATGAACTATGTAAGCAGAAACGGCATCATATTCATACCTGGTCTCGCAGCCTCTCTTGGTGACCCATGATGGCAGTGGCGTGATGGGGGTATTTCTGCTTCAGATGCTCCAGAAAAGCTTCTCTCTTTCTATCCATCTCAGATGTTTGCATTCCCAGTATTTCTTTGGAACTTCGGGGTCCACCTAGAGTGTGTCTCCTTGGGATATTTCGAGCAGATTTAGAAGTTGAAGCTCTGTTGTTTCCATTAGAAAGGCGTTCCTTTGTCCTTCGGCATTCTGCATCTTCCACTGAGGTTACCTGCAGATTGCCCTTCTCTTGTTCTGCAAAATGAAACAAATGCAGTCCACAATGAATGATTTCACCTAGAAATCACAGTTATAGAACACCAACAGACTTTTCTCTCTCTCTTTCTTTCTTTTCTTGTTTCCTTCCTCCTTATTTCCTTTCTTTCCTTTTCTTTTTGGTAACAAGAAGAAAAAAAAATCCACAATTAGAAGAAATAGTAAAAGTTGTATTTTAAAAATAAAAGATGTTGTGGCAAATTCTTAGCTATTTCTGACCGTCTTTCCCTGCATTTATTCCAAACAAGAACACTAGGTCAGACAGGTTGTTTGTAGGCAATTAGGTAACCCTTTACCTTCCTCTGTAATTATAACAAAGTTAATGACAGTGATTCTTATTATTTCTGTATTTTTAATTACAGCTTCATCTTGGTAACATGCTTTTATATAATTTTATAATCTGAAGGTGGTTTCTGAACATGTGTGCATCATCAAGCAAACAATCACCATCCTGCACAGGAGTCAGATAATCATAGAGAGATGAGATGGGAATAACTCAGATTCCTTCTCCATTAGCATAAGCCAAGCAGGGAGAGGAAGAGTAGTGCAGGTAACTGTAAAGGCATAGGCACATTCCACTTCAGGTGGACTTTATGTAAAGCACACAAAGAAAGGGAAGAGCTATAATGTTTTGCCAGCCTTGAGCTAGCTAGCAGACTTCAAGTTGGTTTCTCCTTAGATCATGAAAGATGTAAAAGGTTGGTGCTTAGACAACAGGACTTGGATAGAGAATTCTCTGTCTGTCTGTCGTCTCCTCTTTCTCACTCACTCACTTACCCACTGAATCACTCACTCACTCACTCACTACTGTGATCAGTGTTAGCCTCAAACTCTCTGGGTCCTCCTGCCCCCATCTTCCTTTTGGGTAGCTGGGTTCAGAGCTATGCAATGAAGGGTTGTCCAATGAGAATATTTCAGTTGACTGAAAACAGGAAGTTAGTTACAGCTTTAAAATGCTAGGCTAGAGGGAAAAAATAAAGAACACTGAGCAACCACTCAGAAGTTGGACAGACTCTGGTCACGGGGGTTAGAATAACGTGTCCCTGTCCTGTGAAGTCCCTGAAAAGCTGGGTCTTGGATATCTTGGCATTCATCTTAGATTCAGAAGGTCACACAATTTGACCTCTCTCCACTTCATTTTTCTTCATTAATAAAATGGAGATGATTGAACTGGCATTAGAGATGCCAAGAGCTTTCCACCTCTAAACCCTTTGAATCATTCTAAATTTCTTTCTATTTTTTAAATAGTAAGCTTCCAATAGCAGCTTATTTGCCAAGAATGTATCTTTACATGTGACACATGTGAGAACTCTGTTCATCTGCATCTCAGATAAACAGAGACTCCAAACTTGCCAGCAGTGATATAAAATAACAAGTGTCCAGAGTTTGGGCATAAACCAGCCCCTAAAAGCCAAGTTACCAATGCACTTTGCTTCTTCTTTTCTAGAAATGACAGCATATAGGACTTTAGGTAGAGACTCTTTTTGGTTAGGCTCATTTCCTGTTCCAGTCTTCCAAAGCTTTCTGTGTGCTCTGGGAGACATTCTTATTTACCCTTCACTTCTCATTACTTTGCTAATTATAGCATCTCCATCAGACACTGATGAAGAAAGGAAGGAAAAACACAGCCAGGAAAGTTAATCCTCTTGGTGTTGAGCAGTTTTTGCAGCAAGTTTAAGTGGGGAGAAGAAAGCTGGGTGCAGGTGGCTCACTCCTGTAATCCTAGGCTACTCCAGAAGCTGAGATATAAGGATCATGATTCAAAACTAGACTGGGTAAGAAAAGTCCAGGAGACTTTTATCTTCATTTAACCACCAAAGAGCAGGAGGTAGAGTTGTATCACAAATAGAAAAATCTAAGGAACAGCATCCAAACCCTGAGTTCAGGTCCTATTCTAATAGACAGACAGACAAACAAGACAGATAGATAGATAGGGAGGAGAGAGAAGTCTTAGTTTAAAAGATACCATGGGGGCTGGGTCTGATGCCCTGGGTTCGATTCCTCAGCACCACATAAGCAAAAAGAAAAAAGCCGGAAGTGGCGCTGTGGCTCAAGTGGTAGAGCGCTAGCCTTGAGCTGAAGAGCTGAGGGACAGCGCCCAGGCCCAGAGTTCAGGCCCCACGACAGGGCCCAAAAATAAATAAATAAATAAAAATAAAAGATACCATGGTATTCACTGTAATTCCATCTACTTAGGTTGCCATTTTAATACTCAAACTCCCATCACACCTTTGGAATGATCTTTGTTTCCCAATGCATAGAAGTAACAGAACGTACTACATAAAGCAAGAGTCAGGGCTTGAGAATGTAGCTCTCAGTTCTCAGCCAAGCATCCAAAGCTCTGGGTTTGATCTCTGATACCACAAAAACTAAATAAACAAAGCTAAATGTAGAAAAAGCTGAATCTTGATTAATCTGAAGAGGTTTAGCTCTGTATTTGAGTTTGTGTCACATATGCATTTTTTTTTTTTTTTGTCAGTCACAGGGCTTAAACTCATGGTCTAGGTACTGTCCCTGAGCTCTTTTGCTCAAGGCTAGTGCTCTATCACTTTGAGCCACTGTACCACCTCCAGTTGTTGAGTGGTTAATTGGAAATAAGAGTCACAGGTACCTTTCTGCCCAGGCTGGCTTTGAACTGCAATCCTCAGATCTCAGCCTCCTGAGTAGCTAGGGATTACAGGTGTGAGCTATTGATGCCTGGCCATACATGCATTTTTATATTAGCTAAAATTGTTACATACTTCATTTAACATTGTTGACCTCCCCCCACCCCCACCCCCGTCCCGATATTGAAGTTTGAACATGGGGCTTCAGGCTTGCTTGTTCCATTGGTGCTCTCTATCATTTCAGTCACACCTCTAGCTCTGCATTTTTCTGGCTAATTAGAGATGGACTTGTGGACTTGTCTGTCCCAAGGCTGGCTTTGAACCATGATGCTCCAGGTTTCAGGCTCCTAAGTATCTAGGATTACTGGTATAAGCCACTGGTGCCAAGCTTAAGTGAATTTTTAAGATTACTTTTAACATAATTAAAATAATGTACTTTTTTTCAGCAAATTATCTAGGACAGCTAGGTTAATGAACAGAATAGAATCTCTGATAAGGCAATTTTTTTACATGGTCATAACACACACATCCCCATATGTCCCTATCGATAAATTCAAACTACCCAATCCCAACTGTTGGAAAGATGCATTCTGCCCAACTATAATGCCCCCCTGCCCTGAGCCTAGGAGCTACTCTGTTTTACCCAAGGATGAACAGCCAGAAAAATAGTCTCTTGGAGACCTTAAAAAGCTTCCCATTTTCTTCCTTACTGCAAATTGGGAAAATAACTTTTAAAGGGGGGGGGGGCGTGTCTTGGAGGTCATTGTCAATCTTGTATCAATATTAACCTTTGGATCGCCCCAACCTGCTGGACTGTAAACTCTTTCTAACATTTTACTCATCAATCTTCCATTGCTCTTCCACTTTTTCTCTTTGTTCTGGATTTTTTCTTTTTTTTTTTTTGGTCCGGTTGTGGGGCCTGAACTCTGGGCCTGAGCACTGTCCCTCAGCTCTTCAGCTCAAGGATAGTGCCCTGCCACCTGAGCCACAGCGCCACTTCCGGCTTTTTTTGCTTATGTGGTGCTGAGGAATCGAACCCAGGGCCTCAGGCATGCAAGGCAAGCGCTCTACCACTGAGCCAACTTCCCAGCCCATGTTCTGGATTTTTTCTAAAATGTCACTGGATAAAGCTTAATGTGATTTGAAGGAAAGCAAAAACAGCAGCAATAGTTAGCAGGACTGGAAGGTTCCAGGCAGGACCACCAGGCAAACATTTAATGCTGGCCAAGGCCACTCCCTCCCTTTGTGTCCCCCTCCTGCCTTGGACTCCCAGCCAATGCTCCCTCAGCCCTACCTGCCTCAAGTCCCACCACTAGGCACCTGCTCCACTTTGACTAACACCCAAACAAACCAACACTTTTTTTCTTTTTGCTTATGTGGTGCTGAGGAATTGAACCCAGGGCCTCATGCGTGCAAGGCAAGCGCTCTACCACTGAGCCACCTTCCCCAACCAACACTTCTGGTCCTTACAATACCACCCCTCACTTCCCAGTCAGCCTCTTGCTCTGCTCCTGGGAACTGCCAACCCCTACACCTGGGCAAGAAGTCACAAACCTACCAACCCAGCCACTGAGTGGGAGAATGTGGCCTTTTAGCGAAGAAGAAGAACCAAGCAGGATCACAAATAAACAAGAGAAGGAGCGGGCAAAGGACATGTTGTCATGATTCCACAGCCATGGAGTCAGAGATCCAAGTCCCGCCAATTCTCCATTGATTCACATGAATAGAAAAATGCCCAAGTGTGGAGAATCTAAGCTTCCAAACAGAAATACAATTCTATTTCTTGTTCGAAATGCACTTTGGGTGCTAGCATTTAAATATGGGTGTGTCTCGCTGTTTGCTATTCTGAGAATCCTGGTCTAACAAAATAAGCTGGAACATGAAGACATGGCTTGAGAGATGAGAAAGGCGCTCTCTGTTTCCTCTTCCTGCCCCTCCCAAGAGCCCTAAAGTCTTCCTAGGAGGTCACATGGAGTGGGGCAGAGAGCAAGCAGGAGATTAAAATGGAAAACAACCCCTTAAACATTCCCTAGAGCCCAAGAGGGGAGGAAAAAACAGAAAGGCTGGAGAGACACTCCTCAGCCTTCCAAGGGGCTTTCCCTTTGGATGTGAAGGGCTCTGGAAATTAAAAATGCAGGGAGGGGAGAGACACTAAACAAGCAGAGGATTATGGAAAACTGGACATCCAAAAGAAGACACCCATATAGCACAAGCTATGCAGACAGGCAAGTGTAGGAGCTGCCAAAGTTGGCTTCTTTGCTATACTCAGGTTACTCTGGCTGGGTCAGTTGACCCCAGGCAAGGGATTTGGGGCTTTGCCTGATTCAGGCATCCCGCACCTGCTGTAAGCCAGTGACAGTGCAGGCATCCCAG